TTGGAAAATAAATCGTTAATTAAAAAATAATAATAAATAAAAGCATATACATCAACTCAAATACAGTTATCTAATAAGCATGTGTCCTGAAACATTGGTGTCTCTTTGAAACATTGCTGTCTCTTTGTATATGATATGATGATAGTTTTCTCAAAATAAGTCAAATGCTGATGAAGTGACTCAGAGCAGTTCTAGAGATTATGTTTATGTGTTCATGTACTCATATATTGAGGCGGCAGAGGCTGAAAACACCGCAAGCTTCAGTAGACCTATGTGTAGTGAATGAAACCGCACGTCTGCGCCATTCATTTCCACGAGAGGCGGACTGGGAAAAACATTTCAGGCTGGGAAATCTCACACTCATACACAAACTTGGACAACCCTGTTTTCTTGTATGGACCTCACATAAAAAAGGTTTAAATCCTTAGGTTGTGGACATGCAAAATAATTAAAAGTTCTCTCCTGAACTGCACTGAATTCACTTACATTTTTATTTTCAGTCTCTTTATTTTGCCCTGATATCTATCTCTCACATCACTTTAATACTCAAGATTTAACAAAACTATACTTTCTAAATTGCCTACATGTCAAAATTAGTACATCACCACAATATCTTTATAGAAAAATCCTAATAGGCTACTGAACACGAGTCATGTTTTTCCCTTACAAAAAAATAACCATGCTTTTATTATAGTAAAAGTACAGTAACCATGTTTTTTTTTTTTGGCAAATGGATTACCGTTTGTATTTATTTTTACTACAAATGATGTGATGACTGATGAGCAGTGGGCTGCTGCTGCTTAACTAAGTAAACAAAGACAAAACTACAATAGCATATTTACAGATGAAACTGACCTGCACTTGAGATCCTGAACAGTAGTGTTGCTTCTCTGCTGCACCTGTGCGCTTCCACAGTCCTCTCCATTCTTTCTCTTTCTCATTGTTTTACTCTGATCCAAACCGTTTGACGGAGGCGCGGAGAGCGCGCGAGCCGAAGCATTGCCAGTCATATATTGTATATTAATGGCAGACTAAGGTTCCTTAAGTTGACCCTTAGGTTTTTTTCTTGCAACCCAAGTTTCACCAAGGGCTCCCTTAACCTTATAACTAAGGGATTTCTTAGCATAGTAGCATTTACAAATAACAGCGTATCTGAAAGTATGAGACAACAACAAACAAAAAAACACCATTCTGAAGCGTCCTGTAAGAGCCGTGCTTGCGCAGGTTCTGCGCGATCCTCTTCAATAATATTCTCTGGGTCTCATCGCTGCACACCATGAACACAATCAAGCCTAGAAAAAAACAGCCAACCCCTTTTAAGGAGCTGGGAATTCTTGGCCAAACCCTTCACCAGGCCATCAAACAAGTATCAGTCTCGGCAGAATACTGCAGCCGTGGCTCTGGTTGAGAAGGAAAGACCCCAGCTGGGCCCCAAAATGATAGGAACCCACACCAAGGTCTGATCAGCCTGTGGTGGGCCTGCCTTAGCGAAGGGTGTATTGTGTTTAAAAGGCTGAGGAGGCAGAGGTACACAAATGAAGAAGGGTTCCTGTCTAATGCATAGGTGACCATCTGCAGGTGGTGACAGCTATATATCCAACTAGTGCGAGAGGCCTACAATTTGGGGACTATTTCCATCATGTCCTATGTGTTTAAAATGTTTATCTCCAGAGTCTCTGTTTGTGTCTGTGTTTTTTCCAATTAATTTACATATTATTGTTCATTTTTTATGCAGCTGATGGTCGTGAATGTCCCAGTGTCCCTCGGGGAAGAATAATCGGATACGGGACAGATTGAATCCTTAGGATGGAATTTGAATGTGTGCCGTTCTTCATCAAGATAGCGATGATGGTAAAAAAACCACACACAACTGAACCTGGAAACCAGGAGCGCTTTTCAGGTGAATACGCAACGTCATCAGAATCTAAGTTTTGTCTGATTAAACAGTGTTTTTAAAGCTTAAAATTTAACGTCTTGTACTAAAATAACTACATAAATAAAAATAATAAATAATATTATTATATGAAAAAATTATTAAAAATAAATTATTTTATTGAAGAAGAAATATTTCAGTTCTAAACAAACTATCTGTTGTGTTTCTAGTATTTCTTTAGTGTTTCTAAATTGTTGTTTTTTTGCATCATTGTATATATTTTTTTAGATCCTGTAATTTGCTGCAGTATTGAAGTATCAATAAGATCTATTTTCATCACATTTTAACCTTCACCGCTTCATTTAAATGCTTCTGCTGATGTTCAAAAAGTGCAAATATTCCATGAAGTCACTCAGTTAATATTTATTATCATTATATAAAATCTTTACATTATACATTTTACGTTTACATGTATTCATTGTAGATTATTTTATGCAAAGAAACATCACACTCACTTTGTCATCAAGCCAAAAATATTCATAGTCTACAATGCCAAGTGAGATGGAAAAAAATGTGGAAAATCCACACATTCACTAGTTAAGCAGTGATCAGCTGAGTATAATGTGATGTAAACACTGCTAAATCAATCATATTATAATCAGTGTACAGATAAAACTCAGAGTGTCTTACCTGTAGATGTTGTGCTTCAGGTGTGTTTGTGTTTCTTC